TTTCTGTGAGTTTGAGTCCAGCCTGGGCTATGCAGTGAATTCCAGGCCAATCTGCCCTACAGAGTGAGACCCTACATCAGCAAAAACAAAGCTGTCATCAGGGAAATGCAAATTAAAATGGCAAGGAGAACCCAAGTTCTTATAAAAATGGTTAAAATAAGGCAAACCCCAACAAAGCTTGATAATAGTTGATACTGGCAAAAACGTAGAAGACCTGGGATTTGCCTGAGATCTTAGTGGAAGTTTTACAGGGTTCAATAAATCCTGACTTTGTGACCCAGAAATCCCACTTCCAGATATCTAGGTAGAGAAACGAAAACTTACATTAGCATGAGAGCCTGCTCTCAGATGTTTATAGCAACCGCCCATAACTTCCCCAAATGGAAGCAAGCCGCCATCTTTCCAGGGGTCAGTGGCTAAACAAATTGGGGTTCTTCTATACTGTGGATTATGACTCAATGACATAACGAACAGGCTAGCAGTCAGTGCATGATAATAGAGACGAGCCTCAAGTACACTCTGCTAAGCGACATGAGCCAGGCACGGTGGGTCCCACAGTGCTCTTCCCTCTAGGAAATGTCTGACCTCTGAAGTGCTCTGGGCATTGTCATGCTGGGTGTCACGAATGGAAAATTCTACATCTGACCCTGCGCACTTGTACTTTAGCCCTTACTGACTGTCACCTAGCAGAAGTTTATCCATTGATCCCTGGAAGGATGGTGGATAGAGAGTAAAAAGAAAGCCAGTATTGTCTTCAAGATTTATTTGGATTGAAGATAAGAAATGTGAGCCGGGCGGTGATGGTGCAAGCCTTTAATCCCAGAATTTGGGAGGCAGAGACAGGTGGATCTCTGTGAGTTTGAAGCCAGCCTGGTCTACAGAGTGAGTTCTAGGGCAGGCTCCAAAGCTACAGAGAAACTCTGTCTTGAAAAAAAAAAGAAAGAAAGGAAGAAAGGAAGGAAGGAAGGAAGGAAGGAAGGAAGGAAGGAAGGAAGGAAGGAAGGTGGTTTGGCATGGTGCTCTCAGCTGTAATCTCAGCATCCAAGAAGCTGAGGCAAGGGGATTATAAATTTGGGTCATGTTAGGTTATATAGATATGAACTGACAAGATCACCATGCTCCCAAAAACAGCCCAGAGAGAGTGGAGGCTCATCAGACCTGAAAGGATAAAGACAAGCATCAAGAGGACCATCTCCCACCTCTATTATTACATATTTTGGCATTGTGAAAATTCTACAACCAGCCAAAAGAAATGGAGGTTAATTTTTCCACCCGTCTAAATAGAAGACAAGAATGAGAAATTAGAGGGTTGGTGTGATAACTCCATTGTAGTGTGCTTGACTATCATAGTGAGGGCCTAGGTTCAAATTCTATGTTTTCATACTGAAAAAATATCACTTATTACAGATAATGAAAATTACCATAATTTCTAAAAATCTTGTTTGTGAGAAAGCATTAATATTTGATGTAGTCAATATTCCACTCTTTCCCTTGGATGCACTTTACATGTGAGGAGGAAGGAGAGCATTTCACTCGCTGGGTTGCACCTACAGCACACACTGCAACTCCTAACCTATTAGAGTCTCAATCAAATGGTTACGGAGAGGAAGCTTTGACGCTATTGCTCTGTATTATATCATGGACAAAACAGTTCTGGCTAACAGTGTACTGTGACTTTGCAGAGCTCAATAAGAAGTTTGAATTTGGACAGTTCATTTTGATACCCTTTTCCCAGGGGGTCTTTAAGTGTTCCAGTGTGCATCAGAACTTTTATCTAAAGCAGAAGTTTGAGGCTCTGCCTTAGGTAAAGTTAACCTTGGAGTTGGGGTGGAGTGAGAGCATTGTATCTTCTCAGAGTATAGTCACTGTGAATAAATGCATCTTTCTTAGCTGGAGCTATATGCTGTCCTGTGTTCATGTGGTTTTGATGTTGTAGACATTTAATTGCTTGGAAATGTCTATCAGATCAGAGGTGATGAGTAGCCGTGGACATTAGACAGAGGTGATGAGTAGCCGTGGACATTAGACAGAGGTCATGAGTAGCCGTGGATATTAGGCTTCTGGAAAATACTGTGTAAAGAGACTAGACACTTAAGTCTCCTGTAGTTTTAGTCAACATTGGATAGGCCATATTTTGAATGATGAAATATCACACTATTAGGCTCTGTTCCCCATACACACCCTCCTGGGGGTGGGGTTAGGGAGGCAAAGTGGTGTTATTCCTATGAATGAGGTCTCCTTTGCAGAGAATGACTAAGCTTCCTGTTTCTCAATTGGGAAAGGAACCTGGGGCAGCAAGGAAGGGCAGGAAGGCAGGCCTCCCCTGGGCCTTGTTCTAGAACCTGGACTCTGGGCAGAAGGGCATGTGAGAGAGCCAAATAATCCTCAGGCATGGGAGCTTCTGGAGGTTGGAAGAGAAGGGCCTTGAACCCAAGTATGTAGAGAGTGTTTAAGTACATAGAGTGGTCCCCATACTCAGATTGTGTTCTCTGTCTGTCCCCTCTCCATATTATGACATCTTAGAGGGCAATGTATCATCAATACAGTGATCTGTCACACTGTATATCTAAATGTGCAGTGGCCTATCACAATGTATATCTAAATGTCACATGTCTGAATGTGACAGGTAGGATTTGTTTTGTTTTATATAAGAGAGCTCTCTAGATAATATTTTGCAAGATGAGGCTCCAGCAGATTCTTCTCTCCATTTAGAGGAAAGTCGCCAGTGAAGTCAGTTGATGGCAGCTTACCAAGATGCAACAATTCACTTTGAAGGTTTATAAAATAAATCCTGCCTTACGCTTGCTGAGACCAACTGGTTTTAATTTCTCTGGTCCTTATGGGAGGGGCACAGAGAACAAGGCAACACGTTGACAACTTTTGACTTACATACTGAGCGCCTTGTTGGTAAATCTGTGACACATATGTCACGTTGTCTGATCTACAGTGTCTCGCCTACCTCAAGGCTGCAGGACGACCCTGTAAGCTGGCCTCGGACAACACAGTAAGGATTGGAAGGTCAGGATCTGTGATTTAAAGCACCTGAACAGAGTGGTGGTCCCTGGTGGGTAAGGGTTGATGGGTGGAAGGGTGCAAGGATATTTCAGCTGTCAGTAAGGGCTGAATTTGTGAAGCCTGTAAACATCTCTGGAGAATTGCCAGAAATAAGCAGGGAGGAGAATCCGATAAAAGGTCCTCCCTTTTATTTATGAAATAAATAAAATTGTTTATTGAAATGAATTATGACCTCACAGATGGATGAAATGTGGGACATTTAAGACATGGAGGCTGTTTCTGCATTATTTGTGATCTGGCATTACTCTTAGGTGAGTACCGTAATATTTAAAATACCGTAGATGTATTACGTGACTCAGTCTTTCCCCCCTACATTTCTTTCTTGTGTGTGGTTGTGTCCGTGCATGCTTGCATACCATGACACTTGCATGGAGACCAGAGGATAGCTTCATGGGAGTCAGTTCCCTCCCTCCTTTATCAGATAGAACTCAGTTTATCTGACTTGTGACAAGTGCCTTTATCTCCTGAGCCATCCTGCTGGCCATTGAAAAAAAAAAAAAGGAGTGTGTTTTTGAGACAGTCTCAACTGTTCTCCAAACAGACAGTTCTCCAAACCCCTTCCCCCACCCGCACACCTCTCCTCGCAGTCTTAGTCATCTTCTCTTACCACAAAGCCTTTCTTTTGGAAACTCTTTCACTAGGAAAGGAAAACAAAGAGGAAAGAAGGGCAAGTCGCAGAGATGCCTTTAAGTTTCTGATGATTTTTAAACAGCTCAATTTTTAACAGAAACTCAGAATTTCACCAAAAACACAGGGCTTCGTGTTCAACATGAGAATGTAAGATGGAGGAAGAGGAAAGGCTTACCTGGTGGTTGGGACGAGGGGGGGAGGGGGAAGAGAGGAAGGGAGGAGGGAGCGGGGAGACTCCTAGAAACTCACTTCCCTTCTCATCGGACCTAGTCTTCTGCATTGATTTTCCCTCTCCGGGTTTCTTTTCTTCCCTGAGGCTCAGGAAAATGGATTTTCTTTGTTAAAATGTGTAATTCTGCAAAATAGGGAGCTGCTTCTAGCAGCTTTGGGAAGCAGGCAAACCTTAATGCTACCTTGTGTTCCTTTCTCTGCCTGGATCTTTTACTTCCCGACCCATGTTACTAACATGCCCTTTCTTACCTTCTCAGGATCAACACCTGCTCTTAGGAAAAAGTAGCCTTCAATTTTAATTAAGATTATCAGGTTAGACATCTCCAACTCCTGAGACCTATGTGAAAGATAAGACATCCCCCACCCCCCGACATACACACATGCTAAAAGAATTTCCAGTATCAACGGAGGTTCTCTTATGGGATTTCTAAGATTATCATATGCTCAGGTCCTACTTTGACAGAAAACGGAGAATACATACTCAGAAAGTTTGTAAATTCTCACACTTATTTTCAATAGTATTGCTTACTGTTGTATTTTTTCTTGCATTTCCCACACACTCAGTGCCTAAAGTCAACAAAGGTTAGTAAGCATGTCATCGTAGGTGGTGAACGCCTCATTTACAAGATGCTGGTGATCCTTCACTGGGTTGCTAACAATCCCTGAGATTTGTCATCTTCCCTTTCTGAACCCAGCTTCCATTTCCAGCCAATTTAACATCAATAGGTGGAAAAAATTTTTCATTAGTAAGGTCCATGGTTTTTAAGAAGGAAATACAAACTCCATTAAGAACCAGGGCCCACGTCAGCTCAACAGAAAGCCTCCTGAGATATTCAGTGAAAAGTGGAAAATCTGACAACTCTGTAGTCACGATTTCTGTTCATAACAATGATTTTTCCTCCTCTTTACTAAAATAGATCAAGACTTGTTACAAACACATGTATTACCAGTAATAAGTCAGGATATAGTCAGAAAGGACAGCGCCCTCAGTGTCTTTATTTTAAGATTAACACTAGGGGAAGATGACTGGTAGTCCCCAAGACTTTCTGAGTTGCCATGGATACCTGTCATCCACATCCAGAGCCTGCAGGTTACACTCGGGGACTTTTGCCAGATCGTTAATAAGGTCGCCGAAACCCGAAGCGGCTGCGATATGGACACATGTCTTGCCGCTCTCATCATCATAGTTGATAATGGACGGGCCCTGGTGATGACTCAGAATGATGGAGCACAGGATCCTATTTCCACTCTGAAAAAAAGCACCAGAGAAATCCCATCACGAACAACCCCGTCCATGTGCCTATCTATGCATGATGAGGGGAGGGCGAGCTTTAAAAGATAGAGGATGGATAAGAGGGGAAAAAAAAAAACAGAACAAGGAAGGAAAAAGCAGAATGGCCATTTCCTTAGATGATGAGGACTGGGGATCCACCTTCCCCGTTTACAGCCAGCTTGTCCAGTGCTCGTAGACCTGTCCAGCCCTCTGACTTTCCGGCATGACTACGTGAAAAAAGTTCATACTCTAGAGTTACATAAATCATCCCCCAAAAAATTACAAAAAGAAAAAAAACCCTCACAATGTATGAAGTTTGCAGTTTTGTGACGGGCGAAGCAGCCTCAGAAGGGTAAAAAAATTAAAAAGGAGTGAGTGTCATGGTCATGTGGTTTGATCTGTGGAGAATTTGGTTATGAGCCTGCCCCTTCTCTCCTGGCTACTCCCAAGTTTGGCTAACAGCTTAGCTTGGCTTTAATGAGATGCAGCTTAAGCGTGGCCACTCCGTTTTGCCTTTTAGTCTGCTCTGTTGGGGCCACTGCAGAGATCTAATCCCAGACAATGGCTATCTGTAATTTGTATTCCATTTCTTCAACAAATTTCCATTTATCTCAGTTCTCTGCCGGGAGTTTTGTTTCCAGCTGGGGTTAATGTCCTCCACACCTAGCGAACCAGGCAACCAACGTCAGAGCTAGCCTGACAGATGTGTTGCCTAGACAACAAATTGCTCCCTAGAGCCGCTCATTTGACGTCTTCATTTCATTGGATAAGGTGGCCGTGAGGGCACTTGTGCACTTAAATTCACTATTAACATGATGATGATGAGGAGGAGGGCTGAACCAGGACACAAGGTTGCAGACAAAAGCCCTGTTCCTCAGTCTCGCACGGGGCAGGTGAGTTTTAGGCAGTCCTTGTGTTGGAGATTCCTAGCACACATCCAGATCCTCCCAGATGCCCAGGATCCATCCTGCAACAGGGGACACACTGAGCTTTTCCTTAGGCCCAGGCCAGAGCAGAGGGCAGTGACAGAGGCTGGGCAGAGTTTGGGAGTTAGAATTGTGTGTGTGCACGCTTCATTGCCTCATCAGACTTCACTTATAAAACAAACTGAGAATTTCAAGGTGCTGAGCACAGAATGTTCCATCTCGGGTGTCTCAGGCAGTGGGCTTCCTCCTGGCCCTCGGTCTCGTGACTGGAAAGTGGACCCTTTTCTTTCTCTCCCCCTCCCCACATCCCTTTCCTCTTTTGGTCTAGCCTTTGTTCCACATGACTTGGATGTGACTCGATCACCTATTTGTGTGCTGTGCCTGTCTGTCGTAAGAAGCCTGCCACACTGAACACGTACATAAGGGGCTTTCATAGTTTTTTTTTTTTTTTTAAAGAGTCATTCATATACTACTCGACGCATTCCGAAGGGGTCTGAAATACAGCTGGAAACAGTCGAGAGACACTTTTCTTGGAAAGTACCCGCTCCTGGAGAGGGGAAACAGAGAAGAGTGCCAGCTCGGTGGGTTTGTTTTGTTTACAATTTCCTGGAAGAGAAAAGGCCTTCAGGTTGCCAAGGTGATTCAAAGGGCAAAACGCCTCTGTTCAGTTTCCCCTCTTTGTAGAAGAGGGAGCAGTAAAGACAAATGGGAAAAACAAAAGGACATACCTCACCTCTCTGCTCCTTCTCCTCGCCCGACTCTTGGGACAAGTCACTGGCAGTAGCTGCAGCCCAGGGCACCTGTGTCTGCCTCTTTGGAGACCTGACCGACTTGTTCCATGTGTCGTGGAGGCTGGAGTGCTGTAGGCCAGCCCTCTGAACAAGGATGGGCAAGGTGTCTCCCCTCACTATACCCTCTTCTCCCAATCTGCCTTTTGTTTTGTGGGTTTCCCAAATAAGTCCTTTGCCTGCTCCTGGGTCTCCCATGTAACACTATCATCTGTACTTCCTTTTCCTGTGTGAGTTTTCCTCAGAAATAATGGTGACAGCTGTGTGCATGGAGAGACTGCTTGTTGCTTAGTGCCTTCCTAAACCACTCCTGACCATAACCCCAGGAGATAGGCCGAGAGGCCAGAGAACAGAGGCCGAAGGGATGGAGGAATTCGCTCTGGGTCAGAGTTAAGAATGAGCTGAGCCAGGATTGACGCTGTAGAGTTTGTAGGCTTGGACCTTTGAGGAAAAGGACCCTGCATGTTCGCACTGAGGAAGCTGAAGTGAAAACCGTTGTTCAGACCTGTCACATAAGTAGCCATGGTCAACCTTGCCTCTGCAAGGAAGGTGGCCACAGTGTACCCTCCTGAGAATCTGAGGCACCCCAGAGACACTGATTTATAAGCCAACCGTGGGGAACGATAATCTCTTGGTGACACCCTGCATTCCCCGCTAGCACTCTGGATGGCGCCAGTCAAATGGAGGCTCAGATGATGGGGGGCTAGGGAGGTCACAGGGGCCAAGAAGAAGTAGGAGAGCAGAAGTAGGAATGCCCAGATGGGGCCAAAGGAGGCAGAGAGAACGGGCCCACATCCAGTGGGAATGCTGGTACACCAGGGGAGCAGCAAGAGCATGCACAGCCTGTTGCGGAGCTCTTGGCCCCGCACTGGGAGGCTCGATCAGTGCCATGGATCTTTTGGCTGTATTTATCTGCTTTGTTTTGTGGGCAATCACCGTCATGCTGCCTTCGCGTCCTCTAAGAACGTCTGTGTGCTGGTTGTTTTCTCTTTATCCCTCGTGAGCAGAGAGCACTGAGGAGGAGCTTGACTCAGAAGAAGGCTTGCAAAGAGGAAGCTGGACGGGTTCGGAAGGATAAGAACAAGGGAACTTGGAGGAGGTGTGTCGCTTGGAGCAGGCTTTGAGGTTTCAAAAGCCCAAGCCAGGTCTAGTCTTGGGCTCTCTCTCTCTCTCTCTCTCTCTCTCTCTCTCTCCCTTTCTTCCCGGCTGCTGCTCCAGCACCATGTCTGCCTGCCCTTGCACCCCCCACCCCATGATGATCATGGACTAACTCTCTGAAAGTGTAAGCAAGCCTCCAGTTAAATGCTGCTTTCTTTTATAAGGATCGCCTTGGCCATGTTGCTTCCTCACAGCCATAAAACGGTAACTAAGACAGTGTCTTTTCAAAGAGGTTCACCAGGAGGCTGTGGGACCAGTTGGTTATCAGCATATGGCTGGGGAACGATAGTGCTTAATCTTTATTAGCAGTTTGACTGGACTAGAATCATCAAATCGTCTTGGAAAGACATCTCTGGGTGCGTCTGCGAAGATGCTCCCACAGAAGTCTAAGAAGACGGTAGGCTTGCCCCGGGCGTGAGCAGCACCACGCCATGGGTGGAGTCCCGGAGTGTATATTTTTATAGGGGAAAGGGAGCTGAGTACCAGCGTTCATTTCTTCTTCCTGACTGCAGGTGCCATGTGACCAGCTGCCTCCAACGCCTGCCATCATGCTTCCTTCCACCATGTACTGCATCCCCTCAAACACCAAGCCAGAAGTGACTCTTTTCGCCCTACGTTGCCTTTGTTACAGCAACTAGGATAATTACTAACGCAAAAGAAGTTGCACGGTACCTTCCTTTTACGGGAAAGGGTTGTTCTCCCTACCCTTGAATGAGGGGATGTAACCATAATTCATCATGTGCTAGCGTGTGTACAAAGCAGCGGCTTCCGGGCTAGCATCTGTGCTTCAGTCACGTCTCCCTGAAGGCTTGAGGGTTTTTATGACGTGCTGCAGCCAGACAAAGTAGACTGGAATGGAGATAGTGAGTCTGAAGAGTAAGCAGTTGAGAATGGGCTCTGGGCGAACTAGAGGGAGGAAAGAATGCATGCAATACCTCTGAACTGTTAGAATTAGAGCTATTCTCAGCTAGTCTTTCGAGGGCAGAGTCCTAACTATTGCAATAAGACAGGAGAGTGGAGGGAAAATAGGAGGACTGAGAAGGAAAGGTTGGAACGACTTTTTACATGTCATACGGTTGTCTAAGTAGAAGATTTGAAAAGACAGATGAAACTCAAGGCCCTGAAACGAAGAAGCAATTGTAGCAAGTTTTCAGAATATAAGACGCATATTTTACAATAGACAAAACTATTTCTATGTATTGGCAATGAACAAAGAGAATTTGGAAACAAGAAACTATTGTTTTGGATGTGGTTTGTCTCTGATAAAACTCATTCTGAAATTTAATTTCCAAAATAATGTCATTTGTGTTTATATGGGTGAGAGAGGGAGAGGGAAAGGGAGAGAGAGAGAGAGAGACAGACAGACAGATGGATGGATAGATAAAGGATAGTGTATGCCTGTATATGTGTACTGGTGCACGCCCATATGTGTGCATATGTGGGGGCCGGAGCTTGCTATTGAATGCCTTTCCCTGTCACTATCTACCCTGTTTTCTGGGACAGGGCCTGTCCTTGAACATGGAGCTCACCGATCCAGGAAGACTACTTAGTTGACCAGTGAGCTCCAGGTGTCCTCCTGGCTCTGCCTCCCCAGCACTGGGATTACAGGTTACAATCATTCCAGGATTATCATTGAGCCTGGCTTTTTATGTGGGTGTCAGGCACCTGATTCCAACACAGGTCCGCAGGCTTGAACAGAAATCATTTTGCCAACGGAGCCATCTCTCCAGCCCTCCACCTCCAATGTAATAGTATTGATCAATGGGCCATGTAAGAGGTAATCAGGGGGTAATCACTCCGTGCTGGCTTGTAGAGGGAGATGAGGCAGAGATACCTGACAAGCTAGTGTCATCACAAGGAGGTGAGAGCATGGCCTTGCGGGTCTAGAATGACACTGAGATTATCACAGACAGCAAGCGACATGCTTCTGTTAGCCCAGTTATAGACAAACAGTGGTGTCTTCTAGACAGAGAGGAAAGAGGGCATGGCCCTTGGAGTCAATCTCTAGCTACTAAAGGACCTATAAAAGAGAAGCAGAAGTTGAAGTTAGTTTCTAGGCCTGATGTTTCAAATCTTTACTGCTTTGGTTGTTTGGGTCAAATACAAAGGCTTAATTATTTCTAAGCATCGAAGCCTTATATGTGATCTCATTGTACAGTCCAAGAGAAAAGCAGGAAGTTGAGCAAAGGAATAAATGACAATGGGAAGCAGACTCATTTGTGTGGAAACACTATGACGAGCATGCAACGCTGGACCTGTGCAACAAGAAGCCACTGCCGCAGACCAGTGAGGCCGTGATTTCCCGGTATTCCTGCAGTGCCAAGGGCAGAAGACACAGCCTGGGACTTTGACTACCAACACTAACCACGTGGAAGGGAGAGGGACTACAGGTCCTCCAGAGCCAGGATTCTTTACACGTCGATGGAGTTACCAACAGTCATCGGGTGATTGAAGACAGCTGTGGACCCTCTGCTCAGAAAAACAGATGCAAGAGCCCAGCACCTGCACAGAGATATGGGCCAGCACCGTAGGGTACCAACGGGAACCTTTTTGTTATTCACTTTACTTCCAGGGCCAGAGCCAGGTATACAGCAGATGTTCCAGAAGGTTTATTGAGACGTGATAGAGCAAATACAAGAGGCATTTCATGTGTATAACTGAGGTAAAAATGCAACACTGAAGATAGGGGTAGATAAGATATTGGCAACCATTAACTGGAGTTCCTCTCTAACAACAGCTCTTAGTCCTAACAGCGCATTTTCATTTCCTGGGAGAAGGAAGGAGGTTTAAAAATCTCCATGCCTGGGTTCCACCTCAGAACAACTGAAGGAGAACTCTAAGTGGGGCCTAAGCATCTACGTTACTTAAAAGGTCTTTAGGTGAGTCTTGGGAGCATGGCAGGCTGGGAGCAATATCACTTACAGCACAATCGCTGAGACTCTAAATTTTATAGCGTAGAATACTCAATTCATCAACCCAGTCTCTACGAAGGTCAGAGAACGTAACAAAGTGACTTGTCTCCTCCAATCCAGTCATATCCTCTAGCTGCCATAGGCACGGTTCCATTCATACCCTCCCTCCCACGATATAGTTGGAGCTAAGTTACGCAGATGTGTGTGACTCTCCTTAGGTCCAATCCAGGGCTGTTATGGAAATTCAGTGTGGTGTTGCTCTGATTAGTCAAACTGCCACCTAGAGGATAAGGACAGAGACTCAGAAGGTCTGGGTGCCTGGTGCTTAGGAGTCTGCCATTTGGGGCAAGGCCTGCTGGGGATTCACTCTCTACAAGGGCTGGGATGGAGGAAGACGGAGCCCGTGATGTGGATCCATCAAAATTACTGCGGGGGCGGGGGGGGGGGGCGTTCAGAGAACACGAGCCTACAAGGAGGAGTCAGAGTGCGAGGGTATTGAGGGGAAATCTGTAGAAATACTTAATTCAGATACCATTTCCACCTGAGCTGAGAAGCAACGCGCTCAGGGCATTGCTCCGGTGCTGAACCAGATTCTTTGGGATCATTGCTACTGTGGTTCCTAACAGGCCAGAGTCAATTTTCTAAGTGCCCTCAACAGAGCCCGCAGGGAGGGGGCGGGGCGTGTGATCAGATAACGAAAGTGCGTGGGAGGGTGCCACAGCAGGTGGAGAAGACAAAAAACAAGTCTGGTTCACTTTGTCATCCTGCCCAGGACCGGGTCCGATGCCCTGCAACCCGAAGCCAGGTTTAGAGACACAAAAACGGCACGGTTTCCAAATCGCTTCTGTTTTCCCCTGCTCGCAGGCACACCTGTGAGTCCTGAAAGTCCCAGGTGCTACCTCTGCCCCAGGAAAACCCTGAGTGAAACCAGGGTTGGGCGGCAGAGATGACTCTCACGGCGAGGTTGGCAACCGTTCGGCAAGGCCATCCTGGCTGGTCAATGGCAGCGGCAGTGAGGAGTGGGGTTCTGGGCATCAGCATGGAAAGCCAGCATGCTGAAGGCAGCACACCCCCAGCTCTCCTTGAGCGTGGGAATAGGTAACTCCGCTGATTTGCTGGAGAGCCCGACCCTTGGCGAAAGGATAGACGACAGAGCTGTCAGGGGTCGCCACTCTTTCCTCTCAGTCTATTTGACTTTCTTTGGACCCTAGAATTCACAGGCCCGTTCTGCTACCTAAGGCTGTGTGGACTCAGGTGGCTCAACTCATGTGACCGTGGTGCAGGAGTGTGAGTCAGCGTTTCACTCTTGGGTACAAAAGCCGGGGTCATCTGCAGTGACGTGGCTGTGGAGGGATGGAGGAAAGTCAGCGAGCTCGGTCCCGAGGGGTTCTGTAAGTCAACAGGAAGCACTGAGTGTAAAGAGAGAGCGTTAATGGTGTGTGTACGTGTGTTGAAGTGGCAGGCTTGCTCTTGCCTTTCTGGATATGGGAGACGGTTCTTCTTGCTCTATCATATACATTTCAAGTAAATATCGGGACCAGCATGTGTGGTAGTTCTAACTTTCGCTGGGTGACCTGCTCAGGTCGGCTTTACCTCATTTAAACTCGAGACACACTCACAGCTTGCTTTCTCACCTGGGCTGCCCAGTGGAGGGCCGTCTTAAAGTCCTTGTCCACGAGAGTGGGATCTGCCCCCTTCTTCAACAGCACTTGGGTGTGCTGAGGCCGGTTATGGAAAGCTGCCCAGTGGAGCGGTGTCATTCCCTGCAGCATAACGATCAGAAGGGACAGAAATGAACACAGGCTCCCGAGAGGACACAAGTTCACATTCTTCCCCTGGCTAGCACGCCATCACTCATGCACCAACTGCTGCTGCTTGGCAGTTCCTTCATCATTAAGCTATATGATTAACTTTTTGCTAAATTAATAGGTGTTGAGATTACAAAAGTGAGTTTGAGAGGCCAAATCCCTGCCCTCGGGGGAGCTGGGCTGCAGTAAAATACAGGGAGACGGTCACTGAATGCACATGGAGGAGCCAGGGCTTCCTGGCTGGCAGTGTGCACACGGAGCATAAGGGAGCATAAGGGAGCATAAGGGAGCAGGGCCTGCTCTATTCAGTCTTCTGTGAGAAGGACTGAAGGAAGAATGCCAGCACCAAGCCACATCGCTGAGGGTATGCTCAAGGGTATCCGAGACAGTGGTCACGCAAGAACACAAACCGCCACCAAGTCCCGAACATTATGGGACTGCTGAGGTCCCAGTGCCTAGAACAGAAACTGTGTGCCTAGCTGTGGGATGAATGATGGATGGATGGATGGGTGGATGGATGGATGGATAACTAGGGGAGAGGAGAAATAGAATTGAAGAAATAGAAATAGAATTGAAGGTTTATCCTGGGAGGCCGACAGGAATACTGATCCTATGCAAATCGTTTGGATTTTTTCCCACATCATTGGAAACATGGTGGAGGGTGTCAAGCAGGTGCTGGGATGATCTGATTCACACTGCCGAGAGGAAATCCTTTCTCAGCAGCTGGGAGGGTGGAGCTAGATTGGTCCAGCTGACGAATCTCAGCTTCTCTGAGAACTGAGGGTATACAGCTAAGGAACGCCTTAACGGCACGTGATTTCACGTTGGCCAATGGTAGCCCCAAAGAAACAGTAGTATTTGAGAGTGTGCCATGGAAGATGGCCTCGCCTTGATCACTCCTCTGGTCCCCACGGAAACATCCAGGATGAACTGCGATTGGGCCAGCCACAGAGACCACAAAGGACTGGAGCCGCTGACAGCTTCTCTCTTAGTTATTCCTATGGAGCGCGTGAGGATGGCTGAGGCCTGCCTTGCTGCAGAGGATGCGCGGGGAAGAGGAGACAGGCCTTGACCTTGCTACCCCCAGGATTTTTATTGGTCCAGGATGTCATTTGAGTTCTTACAGCTGCCATCTCACTCCATCCTCCAAACCACCTTCCGGCGTAAGGGCTGTGGTGACATCTCTCCCACGTTCCCAAGCTGCTTCCTCTTCTCCCAGGACACACAGTCAGACCACATCCTAAGCTTTCTACACCAGGTTCTGCCACGCAACTGAGTTCTGACCACTGGAGAGTGGATGGAAGGGACGGAAACTCCCTCAAGGCCCGGCCGAGGAAGCATACCTTCCTCCATGCCTACTTTCTCTCCTCACCACCACTGAATGTGGAGGAGGACAGGGCTGTAGAAGGTGATGGGCGCACAAAACTGCAAAGCCCGAGTCCCTAACTGATGCTGGAGAACAAATCCACCGCATCAGTCACCGTCGGACCATGATGTGAACAAAGGTCCCTCTTCTTGTGCCAGGAGGTTGAGGTTTTGAGTTAGCACAGCAGCTAACCAACCCTGATCTAGGACATTGTCCTCTTATTTCCTAGAAGGAGAAACAGCCCTAGCGAAGTGTTCAAGTCAGAGTGAGAAGAGAACTGAGACCAGGGTTTGAGGTCTGGGGGGCACTGGTCCAGGATGCTAAAACCCCTCAACCCGTTTCGTAGTTTGAATCTGTAATTTACGGCGTGCTTGCGGGGTTTCAAGTTCCCAGTGTCCTCTAAGGCTGAGCCTCCACAGCTGTTCTCGGGGATAGTTAACAAATTGGTTCCATATGGAAAAGAATGCTGGAATAAAAGGGTATGAGGAGAATGCTAAAGAGAGAGGGTTTGTCCACTTGCCCCAATTGCTGCGTCTTCTCGTGGAACACAGAGTCATTCTGTGAGTTTCTATGAATCTTGTGCATTTTCATTTAGGCCACTGGGATCAGAAATCCAAACACAAGGGAACAAGATTCCTTTTCTTTTATTTCACATTGATTACTCCTTTCCTAGTTGTGAGATCATGTTTCAGTCATGGGTTTCATAATGGCTGCGCTCTCGTCTGCCTGTCTCAATGCCAAGCGCTCTGAACAGTGAGCCCATTGTAGATGCTAAGAGAAACTACTTATTAAGGCAAGGGGGCGAATTCCCACTGTTCCCGGCCGCCTTTCTTGATTTTGTAAAAATTGGCTTTGCCTTTTATCCATTTTTAATTTGTGTGGGTATGGTATTTGTGTATATATGTTCATGCATGTGCTCCTGTGTATATATGGATGAAGATGTATGTGAATGTGAGTGTATGTATATGTAGAAGCCAGAAGTTGATGTTCAGGGTTCTTCTCTACCTACTTTTTGAAACAACTGGAGCTCACTGAGTGGGTTTGGCATACTGGTAGGTGAGGGCTGGGGACCACCTGTCCCCACTTCCCTAGAGCTAGAATATACATTGTGCTTGACTGCTTATGTGGGTTCTGGGCATACAAATTTAGGTCCTCATGACTGAGCAGAAGAATTTTGTTGACTCAATCCATGCTTCAGAATTTCGGGAGAGTGCTCCGAAAGACCTCATCACTAGTAGTGCTGTCAACTGAGGAGATGGCTCAGCTTGCGAAACGCTTGACTTGAAAGCATGAGGACCTGAGTTTGGATCCCCAGCAGCCGTGTTAAAAGACCAGGCCTAGCAGCACGCGTCTGTAACCCCAGAGCTGGAGAAATGGAAGCAGGAGGGTCCCAGGGGCTCCCTGACCAGTCGGTCTAGCTGAATTGGTGAGCCCCAGGTTCAGCAAGAGAACCTGTCTCAAAAAATGAAAGATGGACAGCATCCGAGAAAGACATCCAAAATCCTTTAGCCTACACATGTGCACGCACGTGCACACACACACACACACACACACTCACACACAAAAGGAAACGTGCAATAGATGGCAATGATTATGTAGAATTAAGTATGTAAGAATTCATTGTGAAAATGTGGTTCTAAATTAAACTGTGGTTGTGCAAGGCTAATTATTGTGTCCAACACAAGAAGAATACTACCAAGGTTTAAAAACATTTACTTATCTATTTATCTATCTATCTACCTATCTATCTATCTATCTATCTATTTATTTAGTGTGTGTGGTAGGGGAAATGTGGAGGTCACATGTAGCCTGGGTTCTCTCTTTCCTGGATAGATGTCTGGTTGTTGGGCTTACTGACAACCGTGTCCTCCTGCTTAGCTGTCTGCAAGCCTAAATGTCACCTCTGGGCACCTGTTTGGCACCAAGAAGTCTGTCTGTATTATCTAAATGAATTTTACAATGATCCCAGGGGCAGGAGTTTTAGAATCACTTCTGTAGTGAGGAAGCTGAAGCAGACAGGTTAAGCAACTTGTCTAAGGCCAGTGACTGAGTACTTGGTAAGGCTGGAATTCAAATTCACGCTTCTGTGGTTCTGAAAAAAAGCAAATAAAACAAAACAAAACAAAAACCCAATCTCCATCATGTTGGTAGACTTCTATATTTCAGGTGCTGGGGAATCCTATTTTCGTGTATGTTGTCTTAGCTGATTCAAGTCTTGTTAGTTTAAGCAATGGTGGTTGTCTCCAGGCTTCTGGCTGCTTCTCTATAGTATTAACTCGGCCATTTGTCTCTAGACTCCTCCTTAAAGGAGGCTAGCTAGCAGCACTTAGAAATGGCGGCTTCTTTGTTGCTGTTTTTCTGGGTCTCGCTGTGTAGCCCCGGCTGTCCTGGAACTCTCTATGTAGATCAGGCTGGCCACAGACTCAGATCCTCCTGCCTCTGCCTCCTGAGTGTTGGGATTAAAGGCGTGCACCACCACACCTACCTAGAAATGACTCTGTAGGGCTAGCAACTATGACTTGACTTAACTCCCCTGAACACTGTGACACTGTAAACAATTTGTAAACTTTCAGTCACAAGAAAGTTCCTGTTGCTATTCTTCACGATTCCCCTGCTGAGCTAATGAGAAACAAAAATAAACCCTGTACCATTAGCAGTCTAAAAACGAAAGATTTCACAAGCTCACGGGCAGCCATTCAGGCAGCCGGACAATCATTGGTATTGGGCAACTCTTCATTGAGGAACATTTTCCTGCAACTGCTTCCTCCTTTCTCCAGCTTCTGTGGAGCCTGCAGACAGTCAAGCTGTGTATGGCGAAGTCTCTGGGGACTGTATACAGGCAGGCTTCAGGCTTAGAAGATGGTACGCACTAAGAGGTAGTAGACCTCACAGTGGAAATGTGTCACAGGTAAATGAAGATGCTGTCTACCGCACCAAGCACACAGGTATCTGAAGCATCTTTTCTAGAAGCAGTGAATTCCAGGTTATCAAGGATCTCCTGGACATGGGAAGTATGGGATCCGTTGGATGTGAGGTAGCCTCCTTCATCTGCTTCCCCCACTATCTGTCTTCTCAGCCCCACTGAGGACTTATTAGACCATGGAAACATTCAGGAGGTGGAAAATCGAGGCGTCATAAATATGGTACCCAGATGGCCTTGGTAACAACAGACTCCCTTTTTTTATGAAAAATAAACAAACATCAGTTCAAAGACTGGAGAATAATTCACATTAAGTTGGGAACACCTGCAGAATGTGTTTCTTTGACATAGGATGTGTCGTGAAGCCATTGCAGGACTCTGCGCACTGTAGCTGGAGGGTACACAGGAGGGCTGTTGTAAACCGGCCCTCCTGTGCAGATGAGTAAGCCTGGGACTTGAGCCCGTGGCATGCCATTTCAATTTCTGCTTAGCTGACAGGCTCTAAAAGAATCTCAGATCACCCTCCAAGACAGCCATTGCTAATTTTGATTGTGGGTGGGGAGGTTGTTTTTGTCTTTGGAACCAGAAATCGAATTCGTGTGAAGCAATTTTACCCCTGCCACTTAACACTGAAGGACGCAGAGAACAATGCTGATGTGGCCACATGCAAGGACCTGGCTTGTCTAGGTACGCGGAGGACAGAACAATAGCAGGGGCCCGAGATCAGCGAAACAGCTTCCCATCTTGAAGGGTCTAGAACTGCCAAGAAGCTCAGGGTCTCCTTGGTTGACAGTTAAAAATTGACATAAGAAAATAAGAACACGGCTGTTCCTGGATATGGGCTGAGAAGGTTTGTTGTAGATAGGAGGGAGAATTCAGCTAGAGGCATCTAGAAAAGTCCAGACTGAAAAGTTCATAGCCAGCAGATGAACTGGGTCGTGAGAGCAGAGGTGGAGGGGAGAGTGAGTGAGGGTGGGGGAGAGGCCAGGAACATGCTGGGAGACCAAGAAGGCAAGATGCCAGGTTTACATAGGAGAGAGAGGCTGGGAGGAAGAAGCTTAGGGAGGGGGGCAGGGTGAGAAGTTCTGGGAGGAGCCACAGGCACTGAATGGTACTGGGAGAGCTACCAGCATTAGCTTTCATATGTTAAAATAATAATAATGTTCATATGTTAATAATGGCACCTCTGCCATTCGTGTATTATTGTTATCAATTTGCTCTTTAAACCATTCTGATAACTTTATTTCAAAACAATTGATTACTTTTTAAATCCTATATATTTTGTTTTGTTTAATTTCAGATAGTCATCCACAGACCTCACTAGCCGGTGAAAGGTATCCACACTGCAAAACAGGGGTAAGGATCCTTGCTCTCGAGTCTACAGGACATTTTTGGAAGATTCTAAGTGATAAAAAAAAAAATCTTATTTTTTAGAGTAGATGCCAGAAATAACTAATGTTACCTAGAAATGTCTGATTTGTGAAATGTATAATCAAGTTAAGTAATAAACAGAGGGGAAAGGATTATTACCGTAAAAATAACATGAATTGTGTGACTTTTTCTTTTTTTTTTTAAAAAAAAGATTTATTTATTACATATACAGTGTTCTGCTTGCATGTATACTTGCAGGCCAGAAGAGGGAACCAGATCTCATTACAGATGGTTGTGAGCTACCATGTGGTTGCTGGGAATTAAACTCAGGACCTCTGGAAGAGCAGTCAGTGCTCTTAACCTCTAAGCCATCTCTCCAGCCCATGACTTTTTCTTGAATTAAAAATTTCAACTTCTTTCTATAATGTGTATTTATATGCAATGTATATATAATGTATACATCATATTAATTAAGATAAATTATTTGTCCATATGCACATAGTTTTAAAAATATTTGTTACTTTAAGGTGTGTGTGTGTGTGTGTGTGTGTGTGTGTGTATGCATGCCAGTGTCTATAGAGGTGGGGGGAATTGATACTCCAGGAGCTGGATTTATAAGTGATTGTGAGTCACCCTGAGAAGAGTGCTGGGAACTAAATATGGGAGTCCTGCAAGAGTAGAACATTCTGTTAACCACATAGCCATCTCTCCAGCAGCACGTGCGTGCACACACACACACATACACAACACACACACACACTTTTTGATATCCACTGGGATGGAGTCAAGGATACAAAGATGGAAGAGACATTGTCACAGGAGTTTGAGGATCAGGGATTGAGGGAGTTAAGGGCTGTTGAGTAGTAACAACTTTACTCCACTTTGAAATATGGTCAGTTTTAGTATAAAGTTTTGTGGTACTTAGAAATGCTATGACATTTTGCCTTTGGTTAGCTGTCAGGTGAGATTTCTGGAGTCAGGATCGATGTCTTCCGATCTTGCTTTTGAGTGCACACTGGCTAGGGTTACACATCTGGAATGCAGAGAATGCAACCAGAGCTGTGACTCAGGTCCAGAACTTCACATCTGGTTTTGCAAGCTGATTTTTTTTTCTCAGAGTACAGTTATAACTGGTATTTGGATTACGAGGCTGCTTCTAAAAATCTACTGCAATGAAACCGTGCATAAGATCCACACTGCATCCTAAATACCACGCATAATGGTGCTTCTTTGGGTGGGTGCACTAAGACTGCTCACCCAGACGCCAACAGCTCATGGCCCCTCTGGATGGGTGTTCTTCCTATGAAAGCTCAGATGAGAGCAGGAGAGGCTGGATTCCAGCAACTCGGTAACTCCCTCTCTCTGAAAAAGACAGGCCTCTCTCTAAACCAGCGATTTTTCTGAGCTCCTCTTAGACTAACTGTGCAAAGGACACCTGAGACCCATCTTGCCTTTCCCACTGTGCGAAGCCCGAGAGTCTGGATAACTTCTAGAGAAGTCACGGTGGAATCAAACAGTGCGGTGAGAACCAAACAGGAAAAAGCAAGCTGATCACTGGACTAGAACAAAGGGTTCAGAAGTGAAACCACAGACAAACTAGGAGAAAATTTAGCACACTGTAATTAAGTTTCTGAGGGTAGATAGGCACTCTTTAGAGAGAAAAAAAAAAGGTACCCAAAGCAAAATCAGTACCAGGCAAGAACAATCATCTAGTAAGTACAGTGCACTCACAAGTTTCTGAACATGGCACTATGAAAATATATTTAAAACCCAGCAGAGACAAAAGACTAGCTTTCAGGAGATGTGGAACAACAAGAAAGTGGCAAGCACCCCGTAGATGAACGGAAATCGTGAAAGAAGATCCAGAAAGAGCGTCAAATGCATGGAAGATACAATTTCAAGAGAGGACGGCAAATGAATAAGGCGATAACTAAGCAACACACAGAGGAGGGCTTCCTAGCCTCCTGGTGGGGCTGCAAATGGGCGGTTTGAGAAACAAGTAGGCAGTATGTATCAAACTAAAAACAAACACACTATGACCCAGGAATTATTTTTCTAGAGAAATCCTCCCATAAGGAACTCAAGGAGACTCCTATAAGACCGCGTTTTAGATTAGCGGACTGATGGTAGAAAATCTGGGAGTTAATCTGAATTCCCAGGGGAGTGGTTAAACGGACCAAAGTGTTTTCATTGTGTGGACCACTATGGAGCCATCAAAGGGAATGAACCAGATTTCTACCCATGAACATGGAGAAGGGAGAAAGTAAACTCAAGGAACAACGCATAGAGTGTGATGCCTTCTCTGTGATATTCTGTGCTTTTTCTGAACGTACGGCTAGACGGGGAGGCAAAGTGATTACCTGGAGGCGAAGGTGGTCGGGTGGAATTGGTGAGGGTCTTTCTAATGTTACCTGTAGCAATGAAGTTACTGGACAGAAAGAAAATATGATGATACAAAAACTGAACCTCAGGAGAATTGTATCAAGCCACTGAGCTCACATCGGATGTTTCCTCGACATAAGAACATCACATTCTAGTTTTAGGATGATTTCAGACATTTATTTTTTCCTTTCTTCTTTTCATGACTCTTCACATCTGTGGGCTTCACATCCATGAATTCAACCAAACGAGGATTTAAAAAAATGTGGACATCATACCTGTCTTAATCATGCATGGAGTTTTTTTCTTGTTGTAGAACCATGCAGTATAACAATAATTAACACATGGTTTACATTTCATGAGGTATTGGAAGTAATCTAGAGAAGAGCTGAGGTCCAAGAAAAGAAGAGACACTGCTATAGAAGGCACTTGAACTTCAGATTCTTGATATCCTAAAGAGACTCAGGACTAGTTCCCCATACATACAGAGGGCTGAATATATATTAAACCTACATGCTTAATACAGATGCAGGCAGTATGAAAAACATAGGTGTTAGGAACATAAGTGGAACCATTTTGTGTGCTGGATCTTGAGATATAGACCAGTCTGGTCTCAAACTCACAGAGAACCTCCTTCCTCTGCCTTCTGAGTTATTCTGGGAGTAAAGGTGTGCACCACTGTGCCCCTTGGATTTTTTTTAATTAATTTTTTTTTGAAACAGAGGTCACTTTGCATAAGGAAGAACCAGAGATCTTTGAAAGATTTGTGTTTCCCTCCGCCTCCATGGGAGGAGTAGGGTGATGGGGAACTATGACTTTGCTGGGGACACCAGTCAGCTCAGCTTCAAAGTAGCCAGGGTTACAGGCCTACAAGTGGAATTTGTCTCTAGGGTCTGGATAACTCAATCACCAGACTCTCTTTGGCGGGAGCGGAATTCTGAGGTGGAGGAAGTAATCGGCGGCTTGCTCAGGGTCTAGACATCTCTGGTGTGCTGACACAAGTGTAACCTTTCAAGCACTCGCTTCCCACGTGGGCACAGAGCGGTCAGTGCACACAGCTCCTATCCCATCCCTGGTTCTCCTTTTTAAAGTAGAAGTCTAAGAAGATGCACCGTTACATCCTCTGAGGTTTGGCTTTGGGTCACTGAAGATGTGTGGAGCAAACACGGTGCGTGACCACAAATCAGGGAGATGGTCCGTTTCGAACCCAAGTTTGAATAGGGGCTTTTTGGCGTGGTCATCATGATGGAGGCAGGGGCGTAGACCAGGAGGAAGCTAAGAGGGACTGACTCCTACCTCAGTGTCTGGGACCAGCTGATTTATCAAAACCAGCATAGCGTGACATCTTATGTGTGCGTGTTTAGTATGACAAGACTTTCTCACTATTACCAGCCCTTCTTACTGAAGAGCAACCTAATTGAGCATGTGCTTATATAGAAAGCCCATTAGGAGTCCAGGATTTCAACTGGACTTGGGGCAATTGTAATAGAAATCCTTTGGCTGATGAAAATCAGTACTCATCATTGAACAGCTTGGCATGACTATAATCAGGCCCTAAGATGGTCTGGGGCAGCACTACAGGGTCTGACCTAGAACTCTGTTCAGGGATGGGGGCTGATGGTTCGGACGTCTTCAGCAAGGCTGACTTAGCAACGGGAAGGGAACAACAATTATGATTAACAGGGACTGGTAATGCCGGCCTGGGACTAGTCTGCGTGTCCTCCTAACTCTGAAAGAACACATCTGGAGCCACGGCTTGTGGTTTACGTTTGGGGGACTCAAGAAGACAGGAGAGGGAATACCCAGGGAGAAATGATGAAATTTCAGTCATATGATTAATTCCTCAGTACTTAATGCAAGAAAGCTCCTCCGTAGTAGAAGCTGCCCACACCCCAACTGACAGCACTCTGCCTGGAGGTAGGGAAAGAGAAGCTTGCTTGTGTGTAAAAGATGCCGCCTGCCCTCACATGCAGACTGTGGCTGGGGACAGCCTACTCACCTCCGCATCCTGGTGGTTGATCTCACTGAGGCTGGACTGCTGCAGCAGGACGATGAGGAGCCTGTCGGGAGGAACAAGAGAGGCTCACTAGCACTGGCAGTCCTGGGTGCTTAGCATGGGTATCAAAACACAACACGGGGAACCCAGCTGAAGGCTCCCGAATACAATGAGGCTCTTCCCGCCAACCCGAGAGAAAGATCGATGGGACAATGTGGACACAGACAACAGAGAAGCACGTCTGTCTTCTCCAGTTTCTTGCCATCTTGGTGCTGATGGCAACCGAAGGGAGGCAGAGCAGTGAGTCCTTAGCCTCACCCTCTGTCACCTACGTAGTACTTCAATAGCCAAACGCATGTGCGACTTGGCTTTATTCCCTTCGCATAAGCAGAGACAGTGCTTGCATTTACACCTTGACATCCTAGTAAAACAGGGACCTCTGAGCAGGAGACGACAGGATTCAGTGAGAAGCAAGTCAGCGATTCTCAAGCTCATTGGCCTGAACTTGGCTGACCGAGGTCAACATGCTCTCTGGGAGGAAGAGGCAGGTGACGGCACTGGTCCTAGGGCCAGGTTCTGGAGCCAGATGTTTGAGTTCACACGTCAGACCTGCCAAACTCTGAACTCCAAGGTGAGTTACGTACCTTCTCTCTACCCGAGCACTTCCTGTCTTTAGGGGTAATAAGCCCTGGCCTCATAGCTCAGTGTAAGGACCGACTGAGGTAATAAGCCCTAGCAAGCGTGTGGACTGGGACCGAGACACAAAGCTTTATTTCTAGAAACATTCATCCTAGATTTTTGAGCCTTGGCCCCAGCTCGGAACCACAGGGGCATATTTTTTTTTGAAACCACAAACAGCTGGATTGCACTCAATGGGTCTTGGAGGAGCCCTGTCATGACAGCTGAAAAGCACCTTTCAGGATGATCTGGTAAACAGCCATGTCTGGAGACCGTTGAGAAAGTGCTGGTCAATGAACTCCCACCATGAGGGCTGAAAACAATTTAGGCAAAAAGGTTCAAAATGTGTTTTTTTTTAATATAAGAATCATTTGCAAAAATGAAATTGTTTAGTTCTATTCCCTGACCCAGTTTTCCTATCTCTGTGTGTGTCTTCTATATGTTCATGTGTTCCTATGCATGTATGCATTCATGCTTTTGTATGTGTGTCTGTGTATAGGACAGAGTGGACATCAAGTGTCTCCCTTAGTTGCTCTCTCTCTCTCTCTCTCTCTCTCTCTCTCTCTCTTTCTCTTTCTCTCACTGAGCTCAGAGTTGTCCTGTCAGTGATTCCCGAGTTTATCTCATCTCTGTCCCCCTCAGCCCCAAAGCTGGGCTGTAGATTTGAGGTACCTTGATTTTACTTGGTGCTGGGGATCTACACTCAGGCCTTTGTACTTGCATGGGAAGCCCTCCAGTGACCTATCCATCTTCCCAGTCTCTCTGTCCAGTTGTCACTGGGTTTCAGTTTAGATGACATCCCAAACCCTATGTGTTAAATTACTACCAACAAGAGAAGAAAAGGGTGACGGACCAATCCCGCTGCCTTCGTAATAGACATGAAGCAAGGAGAGCTCGAATGAGGATGGGATTCTCCTTATTTGCCACAGACGTGAAATGGCTTTGGAAGCCTGGGTTTGAATCTAGTTTCTCCACTGTTTTCTGGGGGAGCTAAGCTGCTGCTGGGGGCCTAATTCTTGCCTCACTGCGGAGTGACGTTCCACGGAGAGAAGAATTCAGTGTCTATGGCAGACTGAGAATTCCTTGCACAGAGATTTGTAGGAATGGGCTAAGACTGAGAAGTTCGTCTCCTTTATGGTTTCTGAATTCTAGACTCATTCCTTTACCTGGTAGGAAGTCATTATAAAAATAACTGAGACCAGGTATAGTGGTAGCGTTTGTCTTTTAATCCCAGCACTCTGGAGGCAGAGGCAGACGGATCTCTGAGTTCAGGGCCAGCCGAGTATACAAAGCAAGTTCTAGGATAGCTAGGGCTATACAGAGAAACCCTGTCTCAAAAAAACCAAACAAAAACAACAAACAAACAAAAACAATTCAACTAGGGTAATACTTTTTGTTTCTAATGGTCTCACCTCTGGTTGCTGTATGGGTAGAGTGGGGCTGAAGTGGTGACTGTCTCGTCTCTGTGTCTGTCTTCAGGAGCCCCCTTTTGTCTCTAGTGGGTGCAGAATTAGAAGCAGGGCATGTCGAGATATGAGCGGAAGTGTGCTTCTCAACTTTCTAATACTGCAGCTCTATCTAACACAGTTGGTTTCTCATGTTGCGCCGTCCCGACCACCATAAAACTATTCCGTGACTATTTCTTAACTGTAATTTTGCTACTGTTACAAATCATAGTGTAAAAATCTGATTTACAGGATATCTGATTTGCAAGTCCTATGAAAGGGTCGTTGGCTCCCTAAAGGGTCGCGACTCACAGGTTGAGAATTCTTGAGCTAAGGGCAGTGTTACTCCCTCAGCTAGCCCCAAGGTGTATGGGCTTCTTGGTGCTCAGACAGGTTTTCTTTCCTCTCTGGATCCAGTGGAGAGAGATAGAAAGTGAGACTCAGAGAAGATTTCAATAGGGGTAAATAGAGAGAGTTCCCATGCAGCAACCTGGGTGGGCCCCCAAGGCTGTGGGATGAATTCCTTTCTCTTCTGGGCTTCTCAAATTCTTTGTCTCTGCAATCCCTGGCTCGGGACCTTTGAGGATGACATCAACCAAGTCTCCACAGTAATGACATTGTTGTTTAGTTAGTGGGAGCATCTCAGGGAGGAGGGGCAGAGTCAGATTGGCTTTTGGCAACCATTCTGGGGTGGTAACATCTTTCTGCTCTTTTGGAGAACACGATTTTGTCTTTGTTTTAGTATCTTGATGTGTACCCCAGGCTGGCTTTGAACTCCTAGGTAGCACAGGCTGGCATCAAACCTGTGATTCTCCATCCTTCCTCAGCTTGGGATAACAGGCATGTGCTGTGCTAGGTGAAGGGAGAGCACCGTCTCTTGCCCATTTCCTTGGATTTTCCTTAGTTGCTACCTTTTGGAATCCCCCATCTTCTACATCTGAAGAATTAATCTATGCTGTCTAACTATTTGATTCTGAAATCTTCAAGACTTATAGGCTTTCAACCCTGGACACAGATATCCAGATGAAGAGCACCCCTGCCCCCCTGCCTCCCCTCAGTGTTTCTGTGATTCAGCCTGAACGAGAGACAAGGTTCCACTATGTAGCCTGGTGACCCTTGCTATTCTGTGGTGTGGAGATCAAGTGGTTTAGTCCCCATCTACCCCAACTCTGGATCTCTTGCTGGCCTCAGTCTTATTTTTCTCCTAGAGTTCCGGTGTGATGCTACGATGGCCAGAAACATTCTTTCCACCATCCCTGCTGGAACCTGTTCAATCTGCCTTCAGATCTCAGAGCAAAAGTTCCAGACCACTACATACCAGGCTCCAGGACAGCAAACAAGGATCCCCAGCAGGTACCTTCTTTCCTCACCTGGGCCATGATTGAGTACTGAGAATACAGAGGCTTGCTATAAGAATCAATACCCGCTTATTACCAACTAGCCTGGGGCCTTGGACAAGTTATAACACTCCAAGGACCATTTTTTTTTCTTATCTGTGAAACAAAAAACATGCTTCTCATTCCTAAAGATTTGCTACAATTTTTAGTTGAATCAACACTTAGTAAACACTTAGAATAGCTTTTATGTGCCCCCTCCCAACTTCTCTATAATGGTTCATTTGCTGGGTCTGGTCTTCTCTGGATCATCCCTGATCGCCCTCAGGTGATTCAGGTGGCAGGAGGGATCAGCAAGAGAAGTCTTAGGAGCAGCTGACTTCTGCAATCTGTTTTGTTGACCCCGTAGGCTCCCAGCCCTGCAGCTCAATGATGGCAGCGAATGGGAATGACCCTCCAAGCCAGTCATCTCCCCTTCCTGTCCCTAAGGCTGTTTGCATGCAAGGGTGGTACATAATGAAATATTCACACCAGGTTAGAGCATTAGGAGCCAAAGGACCCCAAGATAGTGAGCCAGGAAACCTGGCTGTAGTCAAGAGTGATGAAAAGAGGCAGGACTGCTGGCGCTGCGGCAGGGAAAAATGAGAAAAAGAAAGAAAAGGGGGAAATCTGTTACCATGGAGACCACGAAGAAATCCTTCAGAGAGCCCAGTGACCTCTTTCAGAGAAAATTGCTATTTGCCTTTCAGGACAAATGTGTACAGGGCTGTACAAACACAACTCTGTGAATTTGGGACTTTGTCCTAATGATCCTGTCCCCTCTTTCACTCAGGCACCCTCTGAATGTCCCAGCCAAGGGTACAAGAAAAGCATGGGGCGCTGAAAGGGAGAAAACCTGGACCTGCTGAGAAGCAAAGAGTTCCTAGCAGGCACAGGACTTGTGGGATGAAGCCTGGGCTCCTCTATGCTCTAACGTGTAAAACACTTTTCCCTGTGTCTGCTCCAGTCTGCACTTCCCTTGGCCTTAGCTGAGGATGTGGATCCCAAGTGATGGGCGAGCCTTAATCTCTTTACAGGCTAAGGGCAGAATTCGAGTGTCCCTCTAGATTACTTAAAAGCAGCTTCAGTTTGAGGCTTCCCTCTCAAGAACCCCCAGTGAGTGTCACATGGGAGGAGTCTGCCGTTTGGAAACCTGAGGGTCAGCAGATTTTCAAGCCAGAGCAAACATCTGTGCACAAGGCCTCCAGGTGGCTGTTCATTCTACTTACTAATATGAAGACTCTGCAGATGGACCCGTGCTCACAAAAGTTGCAAAGTGAGCGTCTGGGGGAATGGAACGGCCTGAGATTCTGACGACCAATGGCGGTCTGTTCCCTTGAGTCTACACTTGTTGGGGGGGGGGGGTGGATATGAGTGTTTCTATCCCAGAATCCTTTGCAATAAATACTGCTATGGGGCTGTGTACACAAACAGCTATGTGTTTGGACATACCCTTTGCAGACCTGTGTGTGCCCAAGTGGGAACTGGTAGGGTGGCAATTAGTGGGTCCTATTCTTTAATCCCAGCATGTGATATTCATGTCTGTCTATTTTCTACTATCACCATTAATATCACACTCACCATTAATATCAGTTTTCTGAACGCAATGCAGTAGACACTGTGTTCAGTAACTTTAATACGCTGCCCTCTATTTCTGCCTTTCTCCTGATTAAGGGAAGAATTGCATTCCGTTTACTTTCTAGAAAAGAAACTTATTTGAGCCTTCACATAGTGTCTTGTCCAAGACAGAGTGGTGGATCAGATAAAGCCAGATTCAAGTTTTGTCTGTAGCTGCTCTTGACCTCTCTCAACCCAACAGGGATTTTAAGTGGGTTTTGGCTGCACGAATAAAAACAAGATGAGTGAAGAAATTTGCCAGAGAAAACAAGGGCAGGAGATGGAAGACACGGTGCACAGTCCTGTGTGTGTCAGAGGTAGGTTTCAAACTGAGTTTTGAATTTTCTAGGCACAGATAGGGAGGCCCAGGACCACAATATTTCTATAATACAAATTCCAACTATTTGCTCTCGAGAAGCAGAGCAATCCCTCCCTTAGTGAAACTTTTTCTCTGTGGTTTCTTATATAGGATTTTAAAAGATGTTGTAATGAATAAAATATGACCTGATCATGAGCCAGTGACTTTTGTAAGGCTGTTTCTCATAAGGCCTGGCAACACAGGCCAAGGGCTTATTGATAAAATATGATTATTGCAATAAATTCTGCAGGGCTCACAACAGGGGCTCTCAAGAAGACAGCAGACCCAACAGGCAGGTAGGTTTTCTTCATGTATGCACCAGTTAGTTAGTGTCCACTGCCTCAGTTTCTCTTCTGAGAACTGGGGATAAAAGTATTACATATTGTATAAGAAGAGTGGTATGTTAAACGGGACCTAGAAAGCACCAAGAATTTCATTCAGGGCATTACCTATAATAACCAATATCAACTGGGTGGTGGTGTCACACACCTTTAATCCCAGCTCTCAGGAGGCAGAGGCAGGGCATCTCCAAGTTTGAGGCCAGCCTGGTGTACAGAGCAAGTTCCAGGACAGCCAGAGCTACACAGAGAAACCTTGTCTCAAAAAGATAAATTAAAATTTAAAAAATACCACCCTCCTTCTCATCAACATCATCTTCCTCTTCTTCGCCATTGTCATTGTTTGCTATGAGTTTAATTCAGACCTAAATGTTTGCTAAGCCAGTCTAAGGCTATACCTAAATATGGGCTGGTTAAACAGCTCAGTGGGTAAACACGCTTTCTTCTAAGTCTGAGGACCTAAGTTTGATCCCTGGAACTCATGTGGGGGAAGGAGAGAATTAACATTTATAAGTTACCCCCTGGCTTCACACGTATGTCATGGTGTACACTCACACATGAGTACACACACAAAGTAAACAAATGATTTCTTTAAAAGTTATGTCCATTTAAGAAACCAGGCTCATGTGCTTCGCGGGAGAGACTCTGCTTCTCAGTGCAGTTGCAGGGTTGGGAGCTGCCTACACAACCAGATAAAGTCTGCGAGGTAGTTTGAATGCAATTAGCCCTCAAACTCAGAAAGCGGCACTATTGGAGGTGTGGCCTTGTTGAAGGAAGCGTCACTGTGTGTGCAGGCTTTGAGGTCTCTTGCTTAAGCTTCGCTCAGCATTCCAGTCCACTTCCTGTTGCCATCTGATCAACATGTAGCCAGCATATGACTGCCTGCACATTTCCATGCTCCCTGCCAGGAGGATAATAGACTGAACCTCTGAAACTGTAAGCGAGCCACATGAGTTAAATGTTTTCCTTATAAGAGCTGCCATGGTCTGGGTGTCTCTTCACAGCAATAGAAACCCTAACTAAGACAGTTGTTTTTTTCAGGAAGCAATGCCAAGTGCACACTGATGCTCAAACAGGGTTCCTCCCACTGCCGTGACAAAGCTTGGCTTGCTTAGCCTCTTCAAACGCCTAATGCAGACGTAACTTTTCTCGTATAACAACCACAAAGTACCTCACAATTATTATTTTTTATTAATTTACTTCCAAAAGGAAGTCTTTAGGATGAGCTGCTTCCCAGAGAGTCTGCAAGTAATTCAACTAACTAATTTGTTGTCTATGGTTGTTAAGGGTTTGACCCCATCCATTTTGAAGAAGATTCAGTAGCACAAAATATTGCTTTCAAAATAGTTAATCACAGCTTTGCTTCTCAATAGTTGAGTAGCAGAATTTTACCATTCAGAATCGTCTATAAGAAGAAACCTGTTACCTTTGACACAGAAGGATGTCTACTTTTCTGGATTCAGCTCACCAGAAGATGCTAGCTAGATCATTTGGGACAATATCCAGAGACCAAGAAGCCTCAACTCACCAGAGGAAACTGGCTTGGTCATTAGGGATAATATCCAGAGACAAGGAAGCCTCAAGACTTTGCTTTCAAAGTTCCAGCTATGTGGGGTAGATCCTGGAGTATCTAGAGACACTGCTGTATATAGTATGTG